GGGTGATCTTACACCTATGAAACGCAGTATACTAGTACTACAGTCCAAGTACTACTACATCGCTACTATTGTTTAGCTTATCCAAGTAACTACGTCAAGGCCTACTCCTGTCCTTAACGTGATGTTCATGCGTGAAATCCCTCGATATCACTATATAAATGAGCGCATTCACCCCCGTCAGCGTAGGATTAATGCGCAACTCCTTGCTGGTCCTATTCAAGTACTTTACCATTCTTCTCATTTCTCCAGAAAGGCGAATAAAGTGTAGCAATGGGGGCGGGGAGGTCCGCAAAAAATTGACGAACTAATAGTTCCAAACCACCAAATTTTTCAAAGACATGCTAAAGAGAAGGTAAGGAACTGAGAAACCGCTGCTTTCACCAACATGATTCTATAAGGTACAACCCAGTTCTTTCTCAGATTCTTTGTCATGACGGATAGGCTTCACGTTTAGTTGGAGGGTACCAGTTTGGCGATGAATTTAACGAGTCACTGAGGGGTCAATGCGTACACAAATCGCATCACAATTCATGGGTGGATGCATTTCCAAACTGTTCGGTTCACCACGCGAACGGACTTGATCTCGCAAATCTTCTGACTGACCTGATGTATTCTTTCGAAGAGGTCCTTTTTCAGATATCGCTGTTGTCGCCAGACATTCCGCTGACCGTCGTTCCAGATAAAGACGATCCAGTAAGAAACGCTTTACTGGAACTGCTTCTCGAAGTGAGTGGAGCGACATCCGGCATGCGAAAAGCACTGGTGAGAATTCATTGAACCCTCTGAGTTACCTGCAAAAAAACTAAGTAAATGAATAACTTCAAAACTGAAAACAGCGATAATCAAAGAAAATTCCAGAACCACATGAAAAAGTCTACAACACCTCAAATGACCGTGGACGATGTGGAGAAAACCATAGGAAAAAAGGAACGGCAGAAAATTGAAGTCATACAAGCTATGGAAAAGACGTATTCAACTGAGCAAGTAAGTTGTAAAGATTATAAAACGTTCAAGCATAATTTTAGTAAAATTTAACGATAGCGCTTACAATGAGCCCGGGTTGCATCGATTTCATCGACGAATGATAGGTCAATTGGGATAAGGAGGCGGGTGAAAGTTTGATCTCTGATCTGATGCGTTGTACACTAAATAGTAAATTTTTGTAAATAATATTGTTGGGAGACTTTTCAGAATTTGTATTCTCGAGCCACCAGCCCTTCTCTCTTCCTCCCCGCTCCCTCCCAGTATCCGTGTCAGATCTTCATCATAATGAAGCCACGCTGCCACTGATATATCTACCCGACGGGCTTGTTACTGTAAGGCATCGTGAACATTACCTTTCTCTGGACTGTTGTGAGGGACCATCGGCCCATTGATGACGGCACATTGGTTGCTTTCATAGTCCGCCGGCGTACCGGCTTGCCAGCCGACGTGTGCTAGGGGAGGGAGGCAGACGGTCGGTCGACGCGGTCGCGTCGCGCCCAAGCCCCTTCGAAGGGCTGAAAGCAAAGAAAAACAAGTTCAAAAACCAAACAACCAGGGGCTTATGCGAATGGCTTTTGATTTTGTTTTTCCTTGTTTTCAGCCCTTCAACGGGACTT